TGGTCGTTTTACTGCGAAATTCCCGCGTACATTCAACAATAACTATATATAAAACATGTACCACGGGCGGACCACTGTGTTCTCTGGATTTTTACGTCTCTGTTAAATTTTTAGTTTGTTAAAATTTGTTTTTTTCTCCAATCGGATTTTGTGTCAAGGGAACGCGAACGCACATATGGAGAAAATTAAATTTTTATTTTCACATCAATATCACTTAAAAAAATAATAATAATAACTTTCTTTTTATTCACTTTTGAAAATTTTCGAAATATTTAACGTATCCCGTGCATCCATCATACGATCAATAAGATCATATTAGGTAGGTATGTCAATGTATCTAATAAAAAATTAAACAAAACGTCTGTTGTTCGTTGGTCAAACGTTAGCCGGACGTCCAAAATGTTTAGTAGCAAACGTTGTCCGCGTTCGTGTCCGAGGGGCATTACCCTGTTACCCGGGCGTTAGGTTTAATTTTTTTAGAACAGTGTCGATTGAACTATTTCAGACATTTCGAAAAAAGAACTGTTAAAATACATCTTAACCGACAACAGAAATTAAATTGTTCTCATAACGCATCGAGTCTCCACGGAAGAAAATCTTCAATGGAGAAAAAAAAATACCTCGTACACGTAAAAATCCGTCGAACACGGCGGGACGCCCCGTATAACTTGGTTCGGAACGGTTACTCATGGTTAGCCGCTGGTATACACGGTGCAACGTTTACACGTGGAATGGGCGGCGTTCTGAGCGCTGTTGCAGGGTCGTCCGGGGGATAGGTATACGGTCGGGTCTGGCAGCAGATGTTCGATGAGGTCAGAATTCGCGGCTGTCGGATAAATAATAATAATAATAAAAAAAAAATAAAAACCGAAAAAACCATTCGAATACGCGCGTGTCGGCAAATACACGTATCCGCGCGCGCCTATAACCGCTACTGACCCTTCGAGGTCCGCCGTCCTCGGGGGTAGCGGCACTTATTATTTACCGAAAACGCGTACGCGTATCGTTACGCGGTGACGCGTTTCCGGCGATGCCCGTAGTCGTATATTTCAGAAGTAATATCGGACCTCCCACGTAATCCGTAACGCCCCCCGGTCGTAAACGCGCGTTAATTAAAAAATAATAATAACCGTTCTAATCGTATTTCAGTAATTTTTTTTTGTTTTTGTTTTTATCCCACACGCTCGTGTAACGACGATAAATAACCGCAAGCGGCCCGTACCGGAAACTCAAATAGAAGAATCGATCTCGATAATAATAACAATGATAATTGTTATTATTGTTTGACCAGACCGTCGTCTCATTAATACAAGCGCGGTTTTTTAAAATCTATAATAGATACCGATAAAGATATGTAAATTCGTCAACAAATAGACGATAATCTTTCGGTAAAAATCACAAAAATTTGTTCGTGACGGAATTGTAACGAAACGGGTTCTAAAAATGTAAGGCCGGACATTAACAAGTCGAAAATTCGATAGCCGAGTCAATTTCGACTTGACTTTTAACATTTAATTTTTTTTTTTGTTATTAACTTAACATTTTTAAATCAATTATAATTTGTTTTCCATTGACTCGATAAATAACAAGTTTAATTTTAATTACATCACGTTAAGTTAACAAGTTTTTTTTTTTTTACTCAATTATACACGTGATGGTCAGAATTTAAAACAAGTAAGTATATAATTTGATATTCTCGGAAAATATGATTCCCAACGTCAATCGAACTTTAGATTTAATCATTTTCACTATATTTTTACTATTGGTAAAAAAAAATACGCAAAATTAAGTTAAAAGTTAAAATACTAACTTTTAAAACGCGTTAACTTGTTAACATTTTTAAATTGATTTAACATAAAATCGAGTTTATGTTTTATGTTAACATGCGCAGCGTTGCTAAAAGACCACTACAGGGTAAACCGAAACAAAGGCGGACAAACAAATCCAGGGAGAATCTAATAGGAACTGGAGGAGCTAGATAAATTGGGTCCGCGAAAATTTGTGTACATTTTGAAAGCGGTAAATTGAGTCTCGGGTATAAAAAGATGGTAGGTAAGGTAAGTTGGGTCTTTGCTATAAACCCACTTACATACCTGAAGCATATAGCGATATCAATGAATTCTACGCACCGACAGATAATCACACATTATAAACAAATAATAGTGATAAATATATTATTATTACATGTGATAGTGTATTTTATCTTTTCCACTTTTCTCCAAACATAATATTATAAACAATTTTATTTTTCGGTATAATTTATGCATAGTAATACAAATTCAATTTTTTTTTTAATTTGACAATACACAATTTATTTTTTGCAGGGACTCAATTTACCTACTACTGTAACACAACTTACCTACCATCTTTTTTTTCCCGGGACCTAATTTACCGAGATGAGGTCATTTGGCACCCAATTTACCAGTCCCCGAATTGGAATACACGACCGGGAAGCATTGGCTCGGGGTAGCGACAAACGAAAGCAGTTGCCGTGTGTACCACTAGCCACAGTGGTATTTAAAAGCCGAAAAAGAATACGTCCGCGAAAAGATTTCGTATAGAGAATTATTCGCTTTTTACGCCACGACGCCGTGGTCATTGTTATCATATCCTTATTATCATTATTGTTTTCGTTTTTGCGGGTTGGAAAAACTAATTATTTACACGCATCGTTTATCTATACTGATAATACGCATAGTTGTACAACACTACCGATATAATAATATTCGAACCATAAATTCTATCCGGACAAGATAAAACAAATACAACTATAAATAATTTCCGTGTATTCATATACGACGAGTCGGTAATTCTAGACACGTACGCTAAACCAACAGTGTTCAAAAAAAAAAAAAAAACCACAAAATAATAATATACAGTATCATTCGAGCCACTTTTGCAGTACTCTCGGAGGTAGGGGGGAAAAAGATTAACATGCCGGACGAGTATATAAAGTAAACGAATTTCGGAAAACTAAAAAAGTGAACGTTTGTTACGGAAACATAAAAGTGTAGCACTGTTTTTTTCCCCGTCGGGAAACGTATTTATTTATTTATTTATTTATTTTTTTTGTTTTCAATTTGTTTCTCGCGGTAAAAAAACGCTGTCAAACGAATTGAATAATTCAACGATTATTTATACGTACACTAGCTGCAATGGGAATCCGTTTTCAAGTCCACGGGAGGGTGCCGATATACTGCTGCACTTCACTATTTTTCGTATAGAACCCCTAAAGCGGTCATCTTGATTGAATCCCGAGGTACGCCCACCTTGGGTTTTAAATGGATCGAGTAATTTTTTTTCGTGTAAATAATATTCCGTAATATGTTCGTGCGAGGCTCAAATTAGAAATTTGAAATATTAGAAAACTAAAACAACATTTTGTTTTGTGTAGGCACAATATTGCAGTATCCAAAATTAATTATCTTACATCAGTTATTATTATTATTCTTTAAATCTCAAATTATTCATTTGCTTTTTTACAAAAATCGGAGGCGAGACAAATTAATTCACATCAAATGTCAATATTCGCTGGACATTTTCCATAAAGATTCTTAGCGAAGCGAGCAATGTGTTTGTATAACTATGAAGTGTTTCATTGTTAATCATTTAATTTTCGATTTTCTTTGTAGTTTTCTTGATGAACAGCAAAAACTGTCAATATGTAGTATAATTTTTGTTGATTTCCAGGTTAATATCTTATCACGACTGCGAGGGAACAAATATGATAAACAATATTCTGCTCGGAATCGTTTTTCGTTAACGATGATTTATCGTTGCGTACGCGTATAAATAAAATTACTCAGTACAATATTATCCCTTACAACTATCCCTAACTATAAAACCCGCGAAGAAACAAATGGCTGTCACTTTTCGTCTTCTTTTTGTGCTTAGACTTCGTCCGTACGGTAACATAGTTCGTTATTTTTTATCACGTGCGTATCGTTTCGCGTTTCCGATGCGAATCAACGACCCCGAGAATATTCTAAACGTAGTATATCTATAATGATAGTCGTCGTCGTCGTCGGTCGTAAATCGCCAAGTTTCGAACCAAGTTTCGAAGGCCGGTGTCGCGTGTAGGTGGCAGCTGACGTAAATATTCGCTCGGGTGCGTATATAATACTTACCTACCTACCCTACATGCCCACCTGTCAATCTCCTACGCGCCGAACTTTGTCCCGCGAGAGAAACCAAAGACGAGTATCGTTTTCCGCGTCATTTAATTGCCGCGGTCGATCTTTCGGCGTGATTTCACGGCGACGCGCGCACGCAAATTATCGTTTTTGTCTTCGTAACCGCGAGCCGCTGCCGTTGTGTTTAGCATATTTAAATATATTATTGTGCCTGTGTGTATGCGAATGTGTGTGTGTATGTATAGTGAAGTTTGTAGTGGATATATATGTATGTGGTTTTTTTTTTGTTTTTTTCGAGTAGAAAAAAAAAAATAAAAAAAAACCGTTGTCGCGCCCCGTATATTATATTATTATGGTGCGTTGCTAGTTGGATATATATGTATGTGGTTTTTTTTTTGTTTTTTTCGAGTAGAAAAAAAAAAAAAAAAAAAAATGTATAAGAAAAGTTCTTATATTCTTCATCATACAACGGCGCGGCAAAAAGTTCACGGTCCGGTAAACGTAATATTCGGTTATAAAAAATAACGACCGTTTATTTTCGCGCCATTTAATTTTTCGAAAAAAAAAATATATATAAAAATTTATTTGTAAAAAATAATAATAAAAATAACCGAACGGAATCTAAAATCCGGTCGCGCGTGATTTTTTTCACGGTACCTCCGCCGATATTCAATCGAAATATTCGTGAATTGAGAGTCGTGACTGCCGTATTGGTTTTATTATTATTATTATTTTTTTGTCTGCAAACGATATTTATGTTTTCTATAAGGAATCTTGTCCCGATTGATTATCGCTTATTTATATGTTCTATAGACCCGATAAAAAAAAAAAAATCATTCTCACATTTTTCGAGTTATTTATAGCCATTTCAAAATTGTCGACTTTATGCGGTATTGATTTAACTTTTCGGCCGGAAAAATCGATTCGGCTTCTCAAAACGCTTTAAAAATTCTGTATAGGTTTCGTCGTCATAATATACCAGTAGGCTGTAGAATCAAAACTAACATGTTCCGAAAACGGGAAAATAAATTGGCAACACTGTTTAATATGTTTTTTTTTAAGGCGAATCCGAATTTGCAATCGGTTTGTTTCAAAACGCGCCAGAACTGGTCTGGGTTTAACGTCAATGAAGCGCTATCTGTGTCGAAATCCTATATATACGAGTGCTTAATTCGTGTCAGAAATCACACAGTCCGTAATATGGAAACCGGAAAACACGGTCCATCGCAACTGCTATCGAAATTCGGATGTTCCGTAAGTCTAAAGGCACGTGTTCCAAACTTCAAACTCCAAACAAAACATTGATAACGATTAAAGAAACTTAAATTTTGGGAAAAAAACTCGAATTTTGGATTTCTTTATTGTCTGGTAAAACCTTTTGGCATTTTTGTTTTCTGATAAATTTTATTTTTGAACACGTAAGTTTTGATTTACTCATATTCTAACGACACTAAAAAAAAAAAAATCCGAAAATCCGGACAGCTGTCCGCGTTCTTTACCAGAACGCGCGTTTAACCGAATATTCCGCTCAGAATCCCTTTTCCGTTAGCAACTGGTAATCGACAATATAAATTGAATTACCCTATACGTGCCTACATATACGTTCTACACATAAACTTTCCCAACTTTCCATCTACAACGGTAACACACCCACGGTTTAAACTACGAAGTATTATAATACGACTGTGCCTTTTTTGTTTTTTGTTTTTTAACGAGATCAAAAACGTCGAGAGAAAATATATTATGTGGGTATATTAAAAAATAACAATATACGCAACCGGGTCTTTTGGTTTTTTTTTTTTTTTTAATTATAATAATAATAATATTATGTCGCGGCAACGATCACAGACAATACACATGCGTATTATACCGAATAAAAATCGCACGTTTGATTAAAAAAAAAAAAATAGTTCTTCTCTTTGAAGATTTCGTTGTATTGTCGTCGCTTTGTGAAAATAAATGTTTAAATAAGTTTGTCGTTTGTTGTTGTTGATGTACATATTTTTTTTTTTGTTCGGTTCGTAACACCGTGTCCACTCGCAGGGGTTTAGCATTTTTTCGTCCGTCCGGGGGACGGTGTGGGGGGGGGACAAAATAAAAACAGTAAAACTTAACTGGATAACTGCCAAAAATAAAAAGTTATATACGTGCGTGTGTGAGTGTGGTGATATTACGAAGACCGTTTTTTATTTATTTATTTTTTTTTTTTTACAAAAAATGCACATTTGTTTCGGCATCGCCTAAACATAACGGTTTCTCAAAGTCGTCCCGGCGGATTTAGGTGTAGCAGTTTTCGCGCCGAACGCGTAAACGGTTTTTTTTTTTTTTTTTTACAAGATAACTATCGGGTTACACGTTATACGTATATATACCACCGCAAAGGGGGTTAAGCTTTTATCGCCGGAGACGTCGGGGCACACGCCGAGATCGTAAAACATCGACTTAACGGTCGAATACGCGCTATAAACATTACACTTATGCATTACGATATCCATATTTTCGAGCGGATGTTCCGCAACGCCATCGCCACGTCGTTGAATCGCGGGTAATTCGTCGAGATCCGCCATTGTTTCCTTAAAGCGGTCGAAAAAAAGGTTTATTTTTCACATTTCTTCCGATTTCGTTAGCATTTCTCTTCTCGCTTTTTAACGCCTTTAAGATTCTGTCGCGACGGTCGCCATTGTGTTTTTAACGGACTGTACATATCTAGTTCTGTATGTAGTAGATAATCCGAACGAATGCGTTCACGTGTAACAATAACCAATAAGCCTTTAAAAATCAGAGCGAGAAAATCATTTTGTGATGTTTATTTTTTTTTCTGCTCACAAATTTTCTACCAGAAATTTTGCTCCGATTTTCAAGTGTAGTGCATTTTCTACACTTTTCTAGTATTTTTCATCATAAATGGAAAACACATTACGAGATATGCATATTAAATTTCCCTTCCGCCGTTCCGACTTCTCACTTACAACAGTGGCCCAGCCGCTGTGCGTTAAGTATGTCCGTTTGGTTTTTTTATTATTTTTTTTTTTTTAATGTTATATTTCTCGTGGCCCGGACAGCAAAGCGATACTATTTACACGGCTTTCGGGCGAATTTTACCGAACTAGCGCGCGCATTATTACACCCGTACGAGAGCTACACCACGCGTCCCGGAAATTTAATTAAAACCCGTAATTTCGCGCGGTGCGTGTAAAGCGCGGGAATTATAATATTCGGGAAGTATGACGGCGACGGCGGTTCCCCGCACGGTCCTCCGGAAAAATCCTCCGGCGAGCGCACACACGCGGACCGTTCTCTCGCGCTCGGCAGACACGGTAGACGTTCCGAGAGATTAATGACGAAAGTATGTTATCCGCGCGCTTATACTGCCGCAGTACTCGTCGTGTACAATATAATATACGGGCGAATCATAATATTATTCTCATTATTATTATTTTCGACGCCACCCCGCAAAGATTTCGCGCGAAAGGGAATTGTGTGACGACGACGACGACGACGCCGCCGCCGGGCCGGGAACAAGAGGCGGACTCATCGGTCGTCGTCCGCGTTCGGCCCGGAGATTTCGCGTCCCCGCGCGCTGTCCTCCCGTCGCCGTGCAGCCCCGCCGCGCTTGGACCTTAGCCAACGGCGTTCGCTGCTGCTGCCGACGCTAACTCCTCTCCGAGGATCCGACGACGATTTTATTCTTCGCCCTAAATAATATATTTAATTATCGAAACCTTTTGCTCCGGTCGAAATCCCGTATAATATATTTTACAAGCGGTTGTACAACTCTCTTTCTTCTTTTTTTCTTGCCTCCCCCCCTTCCCCTTCACCCGGTTTTGTTTTGCTTTTAACGCGGTCGGTTGGCATTGTGTCACTATAATAGCCGTATGCCGACGGTTATTATATTAACGTATTATGGTATAGTATTCGATGTTCCACAACTGCAACGGCGTATAGACTAGACAGTACACTTTTTCGATAACTATATATTTATATTTGATTCGTTACCATTTTAGATTCTGAGTGGAGCGAGGGGAATGTATTGTTTGTACAAAAATATTTATTTTTTTTCCCGTGGACAACTTTTATACCAGAAATTTCTTAAAACAGATGTACGGAAAGTAAAAGCTTCATTTCGCTCATGGTCTTCTATTTCATTTAATGACGCATATGTTAAAAACGCCACATTTAACACTACAAAATATAATCATAAATCTACAAATAGGTAATATTAATGTTTAAAAGTTAATAACTGAAATATTGTACACCTATTTTCTTTAAATTATCAAACGAGTAGACAAAAATCGTTGTCATATATGATGATCAGAATGCGACTTTATTTAACGCCAAATCAAAAGACTACATTCAGTGATTTAATTAAGACGGTCTTGAACTGTTTTTAGTCCATAGTTAGACAAAATCATAATAATCTTCGATGACGTTACTATAATGACTGAATTTATGACTAAAATGTTAACAATGATAATGCCATTATTATCCTAGGACAGCTTTTTCTTTTGCACTATTATACACACGTAATAAATTCGGTCGAATATATCCGATTATATTGTATTTTTATTTATTTTTTGTTAATTCTTATCGAAGCGAGGAATGTGTTGGTTTTACTATATAATACGGTCTTTTCGTTGGTATCTGTAAATAAATTTTATACCAGGAATCTCGCTTCAATCGAAAACTTTATAAGAATTTTCTCGTAGCCTTTTTATTTAGCTGGTGAACTCGGGGATGTAATTATTTGATTTTCCTTATAGTTTGGGAAAAACTGACAATCGTTTGTATAGTTTTTGTTGATTTCTCAATTACGCATTGACAACAAAGGAAAAATACGACCGAATCAGAATCGTTTTTTGTTAGCAATGATTAATCGTACCATACAGATATAAATAAATAATTACTCTAATATAAATCCTTCTTTCCTACTTCCCGCCTAAAACAGTGGCACGCCCATTAACAGTATCAACCTTTTTATATAGATATATATTATAAAAAAAAAAAAAAAATTGAGCAGGTTTTACGATGCACTATATACGTACAGGTACCTGTATACACACGGTTCATTAATCACGAAAAATACTTGTCATTTTGTTATCAGTTTTACACTTTTAAAATTAATTGTCGATAGCGTAAAAATACGATTACGCGCACGTACAAAAGCTGTCATGATCAGTATAGTTGTTATTTTCTCGTTGATGCGTACATTTAAAAAAAACATATTTATATATTTTGTTATGTTTATAGTTTAAATAAACGGAATTCATATGCATCATAAAAAAAAAATACGTTTGAATAGAAAATAGTCTATACGGTATACCTGTATCGTTTACGCATAATTAATCGAATACGGCATAAAAAAAATGTACTATTTTAATCCATTCACCCAACAAAAATCACCGCGGAAAACGCGTAACTATTATCGTGATTTATCATAGTCCAACAGATAGCGTAGGTATAGATTGCGCGAGTGTTATAATAAGCGGTTCCGTGAACAAATTTTCAGGGCTTATTTCACGTGTTTGTTGCGCGGTGAATTAAATTCCACGTTTACAAACGGCGCATAATATATAAGTGCCTAGTACTTACTTAGTGGAAAACATTAAACACTATAATTATTTAATACCAACGGTAGTAATTTATCACAGTAATAATTTCAATAAAATCGCACCTAGAACGAATCGTGGCGTGTATGGCAGCATAATAACATGTAGCACTGCACCTATTGTAAATAAAAAAAACGAACACAAAACTGTGTTAACGTCACACGACCCGCAGCCAGTCCATTGAACAATAATAATTATTATTATCATTATTATTATTATGATTATTATTATTATTGTGTACGTTTCGCAGTGTACACGTAACTACAGTATTCGTATATTACAGTCCTCGGTTTTTCCCTTTTCAATATTATACATACCTACGTATATACATACATTATGTTCGTTTGTTTTTTATTTTGTGTGTAAGAAATGTGCCTATTACTCTGGCAAAAAAAAAAAAAAACCTGAACAAAAATGAAAAAAAGGGGAGGTAAGTGTTTTTTATTTTACTTTTTAAACATTGTTTTCCCTATACACCCGTAACGCGGAGGGAGAAAGTGCGCGCGAGTTTTCCTCTCTCCGGGGTCGTTACACACATCAGGGCCCTCGAAGGCGAATAACTACTATACCGCTACTATATATATACATATATATATATTTATATAATATACGTGACTACAACACTCAATGAC